AGGGTTGTTGTGAACGAAAAAGCTTTGAGTTACTTGCCTTAACTTTGCAAATCCGTCTGTTGATCTTGCCTACTCCTGATTAAAAATTCTACATAGAACTGCATATGTAAAGCCTTAAAAATGCAAGGTATGATAAACTTATGAGTCACCATGGTATATAGTATTCGAATAAAAATATTCGCGCCTTAATGACAGCATAGGTTTTTTAATAATGCGTGGTTGGTTTTGTAAATTGCTCTCTGTACGTTCCCACTCACGGCAAACGTTTAACTATTGAGCTGGCGCATTTAAGCTTATTGTTTCAATGTAGCGGTTTTGTATATCGGCTTTCGACCGTTTTTGCGTTTCGTGTTGGACATCGGTATCTCGGCTTTTGGATTGTTTGGGTCGCGCTTCCCTTTTAACCCTGCAGAAGAGCCTACTGGGTTTCCTCTTAAGGCTTTGATTTAAGAACTCATTAGTGGTACCGCATTTTCGTTGTCATGAAACGAGTCATTGCTCCCTCTGATCGGGGTCAGATATCAAAAAAGACTATCAAACGCTCAAAAGGTGTCTTTGTTGAAGAGTCATCCTCGGGCCAAAACGGGCACTTTCTTGGTTGTTTTCCTCCTGAAATTGTTTTCCGTGTATTCACTTTTCTTGAAAGTTTGTGCGAGCCGTTCTGCTTATGTTGATTTTAGTTTCCGATTTGTCCAATGTCGTGTTCGCTAGTCGATCTGGTCGGATGTCCGTGAAACACTATCTTACAAGTCCTGTTTGTACACAGCTTTACAGTTTCAGAAACCCACACCCTCCTAATGCACCTGATAACTTTGTCGCTGTAAAGGAGCAGCTTGATTACTTCTCCCATGTTGGTACGGTTATTTTCATCCCCTTTTTTGTCTAGGACTTTTGTTTCGTAGAATATATTGCTTCCGTCCCCTCTCTCTGAGGATTCAGCTTCTGGATAGCATTCTTCGGGCGGTCAGTCTACTGATTCTCTGTATCTTAATATCATCTACACGTGCCAACAGCTTTATGTTCATTGATGAATTCCGTACCTTCATTTTACCTTTGAGCTCTTGAGAGTGCTTTAAATTGAACTTTTTTTATCATTTCAGTATCTTTGCCATAATGGGTTTGAGCCAATGATGCCTTCAACCCATAAATCTAGACAATCATCGAGAAAGGATCATAGCAAGGAGCTATTCGTAAAAGGCACGTGTATATTGGGGCGTCTACGCTGTCCTTCGACCTTTTATTTTGGACATTTTCTTCGTTCCTTTCTCTCAGGCAGTTCGTCAAATGAATGTCAACGTGTCTTCCATTCTCTTGTTCATTCATGTTACGGACAAAATTTTTGGTTGAAGTTGACTAACTTACTATGCAAGAAACCAGGTTGGTTTGCATTTTTATGGAATTCCGTAGTTTGACAATTTAACTGTACAAACATTTTGGTAAATTAATGTCATTTCTGGAATG